GGTTTGGAGAACTATGGTTTCATGACGGAGGCCCGAAGGTTGGCGTATCGTTGGTGTTACACCATCACGAAATCCTTCGTTGATTTTAATGGCGTTGTTCCCGAGAAGTACGATGTGGTGACGTTAAATCATCAGGTTCAAGTGGAATACGGAAACGTCGGTATAGATTTTAAATTCGTTCCACGAGAAGGCTTCGGTTGGATGAATGCTTCTTACGAAGTCGGTCTATCCTACCTGACAACCCACATGAGGAGAGCGTTGGGGGCGTGCACAAGTCCCGAGGTTTTCTTCTCCAGGAATAAAGTGAACCGAGAGGTTATAATAGACGAATCACGTGTGACCATTGCTCGTACCGAGACCGGTGAGAAACAGGAACAACACCAGGTAAACGTCAGCATTGTGGATCAAAGTTCTTTGCTGGACCCTGAGCAAAGTGACGAGCAAGGCATAGTCTTTACGGAAGTAGACATTGTGATGGAAAATAAATTTTGATAAATGTCTGTCTGTCTGGATTGTTTTGTGTCTGAAAAAACCTATTCGATGGCAACCCGACACTACCAATAGAATTCAGACTTTCATTCACACATACACACAAAAAAAAAAAAAAACATTTTACTTTACCCGTGTTTCGCCCATGGTGAATCTGTGAGCACCTAAAATCCCTCCCCTTTTTCCTCGTAATTCAAAATTCAATCAGGTATATCGAAGCTTTAATTTATAAATTTCTGTGATAACGGCACTTTACGTTTATTTCGTTTTCTTTTTATCCTATTTTTTTTTTTATATTTCCTTCATTTCTTATTACTAGGGTTTTGCATGCATATCACTATATATATATATATATGTGTATAGTTTTTTTTTTTAGAAAAAGGTTTTTTATAGCACTCGAATATTATAGTATATATATATACGGTATACGTGATCTTGGATATACATTACAACTTTACATAATTTTCGGAAAATTCAAACAACATTCTATCTTAAAGAATTGTATATAACTGATACATCTAGATTCTGGGGGTTTTCTTTTCCTCCGTCACATCTGGATAAAGATTTTCTTTTTTTTTTGGTCTATTTCCATCCCTATATCTCTTACACACACATTCGAGATCATAATTGGTTTTCATTTTTTTCTCGTTTTACCTTCATCTCCGGGAACATATCAAAAAAAAAAAAAAAATCTCCAACATGTATACTCTCATTCTTATACATTAATTTTTTTTTTTCTTCTCTCATATCCTATTTACCTTACCATTCATGTTACTTTTTCAACAAATCTCTGTATTTTTCAAAATTCTGATACATTTAAAATAATTACAAATCTTTCGAATATTCCCCCCTAACGACAGTCAAAGGGTTTCCTCTCGCAACTATATTTAACGAAATCGTTTTAAAATAAAATCCTGGACGCAAAGAATATCATTTTCATATTCGTTGCAGTTATTTTGCGTTAAATCAACATTTGGTTCGACTTTTAAGTTATTACTATATTTATTTCTTAAAGATATTTCGTGTCATCGCGAGTTCCACGACTCGCGTTTCGGGTTACCAAGCAAAAACAAAAATTCAAGATCAACTAATCATAGGAGTGAAAAGATTAAACTAACTACTTGTGGTAAAATAGCAAAGTTAAATAAAACATGCGTAAAAGTCTTAAAGCTCCATCATCTCTGTGTCCATGATCTCCCCGCGGGCGACGGAATTAACTATTTCCCGACGGATTTCGGGCGTGATGAGTTCATGCGTTTTTGCTTTCATCACTCCGAGAAGGGCGTCTTTTTGCTCGGGCGTAAGATCCTGCTTATATCTTTTTTTTTAAATAGGTTAACAGAGTTGGTCATTCGTGATGGTGAACGGTGCGAAAATGTGACTGAATCTTTACCTTTGCGCAAATACCAAGAATGATTGATGCCACAACACGGGCATGGCTCTTTCGTCGTTCTTAAATCGAAGAAAATGAAAAACCAACGCATCCACCAC